AGAGAGAGAGAGAGAGACAGAGACAGACAGAGACAGAGACAGAGACAGACAGACAGAAAGAGACAGAGAAACGAGTTCTTTTAAGGTCGGATTTTTATTTTTATTTTTGTCACTGTTCATGTTTTGGTTTTTGCTTTTAGTGTCTTGGTAGGTAGCTCATGCTGGTCCCAGACTCACTGGCCTGGAATTCCTGCTTCTCATTCCTTAGTGTTGGAATTATAGGAATGTGATACCTCACCCTGCTAAATTTTAAAAATTTATCATTTTGCTTTTGGACTTATAAAAGGAATCTTGTGTCTGCATGTAAAGCAAGGCTGCTATTTCTCTGCAGGAAGGAGTTTGGTGTCACAGAAGACAAAGCCATCTCCATAAGAGTCCAGGGCTAGACCCTGTGTGCACACTGGGGTTTGCAGAGTGTGTAAGAGTCCAGGACTAGGTCCTGTGTGTACACTGGGGGTTTGCAGAGTGTGTAAGAGTCCAGGGCTAGGCCCTGTGTGCACACTAAGGTTTGCAGAGTGTGTAGGAGTCCAGGGCTAGGCTCTGTGTGCACACTGGGGTTTGCAGAGTGTGTAGGAGTCCAGGACTAGGCCCTCTGTGCACACTGGGGTTTGCAGAGTGTGTAAGAGTCCAGGACTAGGCCCTCTGTGCACACTGGGCATTTGCAGGGCATGTAAGGCAGTGCAGCCCTGGCACTGTACAGTGTGGACAGAATTAGTTATTTCAGTGTCTTTTAATGCACATATGGAATAAAAAATTATAAAGACATTGACTATTTCTATGTATCATTTACCCATTGTCCCCAGGACAGCATTAGACTTAGGAAAATGCTACTCATTATAAATATGAGTGAAAATGTCATAATGAAACACATTATTTCATAACTAGCTAGTAAAATGTCTTGAAAACATGGATAAGTACATAAAACATATCTGGTACTGAAAATATAAAATTTTATGTGAGGCTCCACAGCTTCTGTTCAGAATACCTATTCTAACTGTAGAGAAGACCAGTGAGTTGTATAGACTTTGGGTCTGGCTAATTTTAGTGTGTGATGTTTTTACTTACTGGCAAGTTTTGAATAATAAATCTTAAAACATTATTAATAAAATAAGTGATAAAAGCAAACCAAGGGAAAAATGCACTGTCTATCTCAAAAGGTCAAACACAAGTCAGTTCCTGCTTTATCCACTGCTCTGACTCCTCCGTACACGTTTCATGATGAGGATTGCAAGCCTGGCCCTGGGTGGGCCTCTGCTTAGTTTCATGCTGCAGACTCCCATCTTTGGGACTGACCATGAGTACTTCCCATGCCACCAGGAAAAAGCTCCCTCCCAGCAGTCTTCAGCCACCTCAAGGTCATGATGCTTTGTGCTTGCTCAGGACTTAGAGTGAATGTATTATTCTCCCACTTGTTTTGTTCCTTTTGAGATAGGTAGGTTGGGGCTCCTTCTAAGGCCCTTTACTATGATGATGAAGCTGAGGCTCACAGGTGTCTGTGACAGCTTCAAGATCTCATTGGGTGCCATCCCCAGGTCTCCAGAGCCTCACTCTAGGCATTTTCCATGAGTCTACTCTTCACAAGTCAGACCCAGGAGAGAGGCCATTTTTGTCTGCTGACAGCTTTTCAAATTTTTATTTGCCTCAGAAACTCAGCTTTATAAAAGTATAAATCACAGGCAAGCAAAGAAGGAATACTAGTTGGAGCAAAATGGGAGATATTAGGAATTTTGCAGGTACTTTTGGTTATATTAGTTTTAAATAATGCAAGGAAGTTTATTGGGAAGAACATATTAGATACACTATAGTGCATGGAACAGACTGTGCATGAAATGCCTAACATTTGGAATGACTTGTAGATGGCCAAACTTCAAAATGTAGTTACATAGTGTACTAATAAAATCGTACTGAAACTTCTTATACTACATCAACAGACAAAGCATTTAGAAGTCTTATTATGGAAAGAGAAACTAGCATGGACTAGACACATTATTCTTGAAATTATTGCATGATTTGCGTTACTCAACATGCTATAACATTTTCAACTACATATTCAATGGGATCAAACTTGGGTTGTCAATCAGGCTTGGCAGCAAGCAGCTTCGCCCACTGACCCATCTCCCTGGCCCCAAAGACCTCTTTCCCAAACTCCGGCTCACTTTGGATATCCTCAAGCTTATCTTTGTCACTGTCACTTCCGTTTTAATTATTGTTACTTACTTTTCGTATATTTATTTAAAGAGGTACACAAATGGAACCCAAGATAGGTTATTAACTGGTAATTTATTGAGAAATATATACTCACAGACAATCAGTGACCAGATCTGGCACTCTGAGAAGTCCAATGTCAGATGCTTCCCAAAGCTGGCTGAACCCTGAGAGAGAGCGTGCCCCACTCTCTTGCCCTTATCTACACCCTTCTATGCACCTGTGACCACACCCATGGGTGTGGTCAGCAGTACAGGTAATCAGGGTCTCTCCCTACATTTATTAGACATATTCCTTCAGAAAACTTTATCTGCATCTTTGCCCACTTTTGCTCGCCCCATAATTTACGTTATTTCTGATTGATTTTTTTAAAACATGGATGCGCTCATTAGTTATCAATAGTTTATCAGCGTGTTACTAGTTTTTCACTTATTCATCAAAATGTTTAGTAGTTCAGGTAATTTTCTTGTCTTGGAGTCTTCAGGCTTTTGTGACTTGCTTGAAAATATTGCCACTTCATTCACACAGCCTATAGTTTGTGCTTGACTTCATTTTTCTTCTGCTGCTCTAGCCACAACGAAGTACAGCTTCTTCTCCTGCCCCATGTCCAGATCACTTCCTTAGGACAATTAGAGAGACTCCTGGAGAAATGCCATGTTGTTCTTTCTCACCAGCAAATGCCACAGCTGTCACCAACAAATAGCATAACAAGGATGGTATTGCCAGTTTAAGTGATATTTTGTTGTTTAATTTACATTTCTCCAAAGTTAATTGCTTTTGACTTCTTAGTATTTTTTAACAAATTTATATGAACTATCTATATTTTTGTAATCAAGGTAGTCACTTTTCTTCAGATTTTGCTCTATTATATCACATGCTTTTCCTTTACCCCTAGAAGTATACATAGTAAACATTTGTATGTGGACACATGTGCTTTCAGCTTTGATATTATACTATTAAAATGCATTGGGGATAGTATGGTGGGAAGGATAGGAATGGCATCTAGAGTTAGACTATGAGTTACAAATTCCAAATCTCATCATTTTCTGGCAGTGTGAGCCAGTATTTGCTTCTTAATTCTCGAAGCTTCCAGTTTCTTCTTACATGAGAATAAAAGTATTGCAGAACAGTTTCTCTGACTGTGTTACTTCCCCGTCCACTGCTTTGAGGAAGGGTAATAGTTTATAGATGCTAGCTGCTAAGGGAACATGGATTTATTTCACATGTTGTGTGAACACAGGGCACAAACTATTGTCTGCAGCTTCCTAATCAGCCATTCCAGTGCTATCATTGAATTAGAAGCACTCTTCCCATTCTCCTCTTCATACGATCTGTGCATGTCTTCCTTTTAACACATGGCATTTGAAATGTTAAAATATCTATTTCCATATCTATTCTTTATATTCATTAAGCAAGTTCCAAACTGCTTTATTCTCTCTGATTTTCTTTGATATGTGAACTAGTGACCCTTTATTACCCCAGCTTCTCAAAAACTTTTTATTATTCTTGCCTGTTGACTTTTCAGATGAACCTTACAATTATTTTGCCAAGAATGATTTTGTCAGAGGAATCCTATTGAGATGGTGATTGGTATTGTGGAAGAATCTTATGTGCTAATTATGGAGAAAGTGTGTTGATTGTACAAAACCCACTGGTGTAGAATCTAACTTGTCTTGTTCAGCTTTCTCTAGTTCTCAACGAATAGTCTTATGTTCCTGATTGACTTGATACCAGCTGAGTTTTGCTGATGTCCTTCCTTCCTTTCTTTTTTGATTACACGCAGACATCAGGTATGGGGGTCTTTTCCTAGTGCTTACTAATACCAACAATTTAACTTGTATCATTTGAAGAAAAAGCTAGTGACC